AGCAAAGCAACCTTTTCTCTCTTTCTATTCATCTTAGCTCAATGCGTACTATCACATAACCTCTAAAAGGCTACTAATGCTAGAGATATTCTGCCATATGTGATAGAGAGAGGGCCTTTGGTTATTTCTCACTTTTTGTTTATGTGGATGACATATTATTATTCACTAATGGGAAGAATCGATCCCTATTAAAGTTTAGAAGGATTTTTAATCTTTATTAGGAATAAGCATATTAGAGATCGAACTTATCAAAAAGTGGCTTTTTATGTCTCAAATAATTTAGAGATATAGTGAGTAGAATAGGTTAAGATTTAGATGGGGTGTTGAGGATACCAATTTTTGATGAAATACTTTAAGGGTTTTTTTGTTTATAAGTAAGGTTATGAGGTGTTATTTTCACAAAATAGAGTAGAAACTAGAGAATAAAATGAGTGGTGGAAAGGCTCGATTAATATTGTTTGGGACTAAAATTACTCTAATTAAGTTAGTTTTGAGCAGCGTTCTAATTCATATACCGTCAATTATCCTAGTGCTTAAAACTACAATAAAAAAGAATGTAAAAACTTATGAAGGATTTCTTATGGAGTTTAGCAGGTAATCTCGAGCATCATTGGCTACCATGGCATTGGTGTGTAGACCTATCATGGAGGGAAAATTGGGTGTTAGAGGGTTTCTCGAGTAATGGATGTTTTGCATGAAAAATTAACTTGGTCATTTATCTATGACACAAGCTTATTGACTATGGTTATGAAAAATAAGTGTCATAAGTATGGGGAATAGGTAGATTTACACATCATCTATAATTTAAAGATCGATTCATCACCATATGGATTTCCTTTAAGACTATAGTTTGTGGGTGGTTAGTTATGGCATGATTTCTTTTTTGATAGCTAAATAGTGTGGTACGATGCTCAATGGTATTTTCCCTATAAATAATCAGTGATAGTTAGGAATGTTTTAACCAACCGAAAGGAATTCATTAATTTTATCCCATATCACTTATATGATCGGGTAATTAGCACTCAAATAATCTTTAATGACCAAGATCGGTTAGTTTGCACTTTCACTTCATTAGGCTATTTTACTACTAAAGAATATTAGGATCTTAGAAAAGATCATCACTCACATGTTTATTGGCACATGAAGGCTTTGTCTCCTTAAATTCCCATTATATGAGTGACATTATTTGAAAGTGGAGTTATCATGCATTTCTACTAGACTATAACATCTAATTATTATCGATTACTCTTGTTTCTATGTGCTTTGCTATTATAATACTAGAGGGAGTCATGTGAGCACCTTTCCGTTCAAATCGACTTGTGGCTCAACAGTATGGCCACGAGTTGGGAATATATTCAGCATTCAATATGAACATGCTAGTACTAATGATCTTTTAAAAGCATGGTTGTGTTCGATTAGAACATAGATAAGCATGTGTCAAGTAGCAACGTGCCTTTCGTGTTATGAGAGTTATAGAAGAATAGATATTAGGTTAGATATGATGGCATCCTTATAAATATAAAATTGGTAACCTCATGCACGTTATTTATTCTTTTGGATATGTATATAGTTTATCTCCATAAATGGGAGTCTTCTTACCAAGGTCTGGTTGGGATTGGTATTCTTTGATTACCAATGCTCCTAAGTACTAGGTGTAAAAAGAGTTTGGCTTTAATGGAATCCCATTCTATAAATTTGGTTAAACCGAATACAAATGGGTCATAAGGAATGGAAGATGTATAGGGGTGGTGTTATTAGATCCAATACCGATGCTATAATTGCGTGCTACTCTAATTATTATAGGATGGAATCTTGTATGCAATGAGAGATATATGCATTAAGAGATAGTTTCACTCTATGCCATGACCTTTCATTGAGGTTAGTGTGGGTGAAATTAGATTCAATGGTAGTAAGTATTGCTATTACAAAAAAAAAAAAAACAAACAAACAAATTTAATGGCCTTGGAAATTTATCCAAGCAACTTTGGCAATGTCAAACTTTGTTGTCAAGTAATTATATTTCACATATCCATCGAGAACAAAACACAGTAGGTCGATAGATTAGTTAACTTATCAAATAGTCATGCAGAACATAGAACTACTTATAATTTATAAGAATTACCTTTGGAGATTATAAATGCTTTAGCATGACCACATAGGTTTGTATAATTATTATGGGTAAAACATTATTGTTCTTCCCGTAGGCTTAGGCTTTCTTGTCCTCCCCAACTTGGGGTAAAGGTGGAATGTCCCCCTTTGTAATTTTTTATTTCTTCTAATAAAATTTGTTAGTCTACTACCCTTGTTTCTTGAAAAAAATAATAATACAAATCACGATCACGAAAGGTGGATGCGGGATGAGAAGTAGGAACTAATCTATTAGTCTATAAATCTATTAGCCTACTTGATTATAGCCTACGAATTATAGTTTACTCGTTACTACCTATAAGTTATAGTCTAAAAAGTTTCAAATGTGTTGAAACTTGGAATAATGCTCTAAGAGTTATTTGTAAATTACAAGTTGAACTTATTTGTATGTTGTATTTGTGTGGTTTTTCTTGTTGTTATAACTTGTATTTATAGGTTTCTTGCTCCCTATGATCTATTTAGTAGATCACATTCTTCGACATTTCACCATGCACCTCTACAATACTCCACTTTCCTTAGTAACTTTCCATTATGTGCTACAATGTTCCACGTCTTTTTATTGTTATCTTAATCATGTCTTTATAGTGCTAAATTCTAGCTGAATCTTTGTTGATTACTTCATTGACCTTTTTTTCGATTACTAGGACTTATCTTTTTAGTGTATTCAACAACAACTCAATCTTATAAAAAGTCCATACTCTATTTTCTCTTTAAGAAATCATAGCCTTCATTGTTCTTTGTTCGGACCTTTCCAACCATATGTTAAGCTTCCAATCATTTGGGTTTAAATCAAAATCAAGGCTTTTGGTCAAAGATTTGAAATTGAATTGGATATTAAGCTTTAATTAAACATAAGTATAACCTTTTTTTTTAAATAAAAAATTGATGGATGGTGAAATTTAACCCAAATTTGTAATCAAAATCTACTATAGACAAAAATAATCAAGGGATATGGTCTAACAATAAAGAATTTGTTTTGATTTGCTTAAAATCGAGGTTCAATTCGTACTACTTACGAACAACTAGTCATAATTATTCATTGGTGGCATTAGGTTTGGACTAATTTGGCTTAAAAGAGAATCTAGTGACCAACTAAACGTTAAGCGTGTTAGATAAAATTAAAAATTCATTTAAAAAGGATAATTTAGAAATTTTGGAAAATAAACTAATTTATGCTTTTCAAAAAATAATTAAAAAAAAACTAATAAAACCATATAAAACATAGCAATTAAAATTAAAATTTATTTAATTTATTTGAAGGAGGCGCGAACTCGTGGTGGTGGTAAATGGTAATATCTACTAGCTCTAGGTCGGTCATACATCGCTTATTGTGCAAGCATTTTCTTTTCTACAACGTGGGCCAACAACCATCGCATCAACGTTGTCTTTCTAAATCATTGTAATCTAGAAAGAGAACAAAGACTCTCGTATGCTTACTATTGTCCAGGAAACAACTAGAGTTTTGCTTTGTCGGTCAACGGAGGCTTATATTTCCCCTTTTCTACCAATTCAATTTTCACCATATCAAAGGTTTTTGGAGTTGTAAATGAATCTATACTAAAATCGGGATTTTCTTAGATTTAAATGCCGATAACAGGATATGAACCATTTTTTTTCTAAATTTATGAGTTTAATTTGAATGATGTATTTTTAAAATTATTTAGAAAAAAATAATTTCGATTGATATATAAATTAATCAAAAAAATATCAGAAGATTTTAATATAAACAATATGAATAATCGAGTCTAAAAATATTTGATTATAATTATTATATAAGGTAATTCTATAATCTGTTTTTATATTTTTAATTGAATTAATTTTATAGTTAAACATATATTAATTTTTAATCTGATAATATTTTTAAATAACATCATCAAATTAGTTAAATAATTTGCATGTAATTATTTTTATTTTCAAAATATTCTTACAAATAGATAGATTTTTATTTGTAAATTATATAACTAATTCTAATGATTTAACTTAAAAATCTTGTTAAAATAATATATTAAAAACTGAATCTATATTGAAAATAAAATTGAAAAATTAAAAAAGGATTAAAAAGGTACGTTATTAAATGAGAAAAAGATTCAGCCATTAATCGTAATAAAAAAGCATCATTTAAATCAAGTACAGCGACACACTAACTGTATTATGTTGCTAAATAAATATTTGATTCGAGAAGCGTGCAGGGAGGGACAAGGTAAATCTATCCTCCACGTGTCAGATAAAACATGCTGCTAAATCTATCAGCGGCAAAAACCACCTGTCTCTTTTCTATTTTTCCTTTTTCGAGCTCCCTTTGCTTATTAAAGCGGCAAAGCTACCTACTACTTGGAAATTTCACTCCCCCCTCTCTCTCTCTGTCTCTCTCTCTCTCTCTCTCTCTCTTTGCCTCTGTGTACAAGCAAGAGATCTCTCCCGCCTCTGTTGAAAGTAAGGAATTTTCGAAGAAACACACAATCTTTAAATTCCTGCTCAAGCTTTCATTTTTAGCTCCGATTTTCAACTACAATGAAGCTTTCCAGTTCTTTTTTCGCATTTCTACATGCTGTCCTGTAGCTAAAAATTACAAGCAATTAAACTTATTTGCTTGTGAATCGTTTGTTTGCTGGTCCCTGAATTTTTTTTTGGTCTTGTTGAGAGAGTAGAATAATGGATTCAAAAAGAGAGAGAGAGAGAGAGAGAGAGAGAGAGAGAGTAGAATAATGGGTATCTATATCTTGTGTTTTGGCTGTTTGGTGATAGCGATGACATAAATGTGGATATATCAAGGGGCAGTTGATTTGTTCTCATTTTCTTTACCTTTTTTTGTGGGAAAATCAAAGCGACCCATTTGAAGATTAGGCAACAAAATGACTAGGAGAAGGGGCTTACATTTTAGCAAGCTATTGTCGTTCTCGTGCTTTAAATCTCATTCTAGTGACAATCATGGTCTAATTGGGCAAAAAGGATACTCTAGGGTGGTTTATTGCAATAACCCTGACAATCCAGAGGCTATTAAGCTTAATTATAGGGGAAACTATGTATCAACTACCAAATATACTGCCCTTAATTTTATACCAAAGTCTTTGTTTGAGCAGTTTAGGAGGGTTGCAAATATTTACTTTCTTGTTGTAGCTTGTGTTTCATTTAGTCCTTTAGCCCCCTATACGGCACCTAGTGTTGCTGTACCTTTGCTTGTGGTGATTGGAGCCACCATGGCCAAAGAAGGTGTCGAAGATTGGAGGCGAAGAAAGCAGGTAATATTGCTTCTTCTTCTTCTTTTTTCCCATATATATTTTGTTTCTTTTTTTTTTCTTTGCACCTTGTGGTTGTTGTTATGCTGTGCATGTCTTTATTTGGGTTTTAATGATGAAACGAACTCTGTTGGTTCCCCTGTGGAGAAATCGCCGTCTGCATCGTGTTAAACTGTCTAAGATTTATTTTAACGCTCGAGTATCAATACTATAAACTATATAACATTTGCTTAGCATATGAGGATCAATGAGTGTAGGGGCCCTTTTCAATTATGGATTAGGATTGGAGCCTAATTTGAAAATTAAATGTTATATTTAACTGTTTAAATTCTAATTTATATATTCATCACTGTTAAGTAGCTCGAGTTCTTTCTTGTTTCTCTAGTAAGGATTTCCTTCTTTTGTTGATGGCTGACTTTTAAACTTGGAATCAATCTTGAGCTCTTTCTTCACCCCTCGACTGCCTAGTCAGTGGCCCTGGCACCACTGATCTTACAACCAACCTTATTGAAAAGAAACGCATTGCATTTTGTGATGGAGAATATGAAATAGGGAGAGACTATATCAGTGGCATTCTAGCTTACTTTCATCTGACAAACCTTGGTCCCAAATTCGTAGGGGTCAGCTCTGTGGATTCTTTTCCATTGTAACTGGTATCAGTAGACAAAAGTTATATACATAGATGCACATTATTTATGAGGTAAATTTTCTGTATTTTCCTTTAATGCCTATTATTCTCTATATATCTAGATATCAGAGTGCTGTATTTGATCTACCTTTGGAACTGTCCGACAAGTTATGATTATGCCTTTGCTGGTTGCTCTTGTGCTAGTTAGTTCCTTGACAGTCATGCATGGTTCAAGATTTATATGCATCAGAATGAAATATTTTCTTAGTTACTTGGCACACTGTCAGGTGACAAATTCCTTGCATCTTCAGCACTGATGTTCCATCAATGAATTTATTATTTAAGACTTTAGTTTCCTGTCATCAGTTGTGCATATTTATATATCTAGGCCATCATCCTACCCTGCCAGTTGCCACACATAATTTGACATTGCGTCTGTGTATGGAGGATTGAAGACATGTGTCTAATTGCATTCATTCAATATGTGTAACTGTTTATGTAATGTTGGAATTTTTTTTGTATTATTCAAGTTATCAATTTTTTTTGTTCATCACACTTGAAAGATCTTTAACAAAGAAAGGGATCCATGTTTTCAAAATAAATAAATAAACGTTTGCATATCATACTTTTGTACTTTGTAGCATAACTTATTTACATGTGTCTGACATCTTCAAAATAGCAATTGCTAAACTTTCAGCCAGCATTTTTGTTGTGAGCTTGTAATCCATGTTCCTATGTGTACCACTTTTAGTACGACCTTGCTAATTCAAACTCAGATTATAAACTTGCATGCTGGCTAAATCCTTTTTTTTTTTTTTTTTCTTGTAATTTTTCACTTGGTTCATCAAATTGTTTTTACTGTTATTGCATGTTTTTATTCCTTCCAAAACAATTCCCTGGTGATTCATTCACTCTAGACTGATCTTTGAACGGTTTCAGGATATACAGGCTAACAATAGAAAGGTCAAAGTGTATGGTAAAAATTATACGTTCCATGAGACCAGATGGAAGAGCCTTCGAGTTGGAGACATTGTTAAGGTGTCTAAGGATGAGTATTTTCCTGCCGATCTGCTTCTGATTTCATCAAGCTATGAGGATGGAATTTGTTATGTTGAGACCATGAATCTTGATGGAGAAACCAATTTGAAATTGAAGCTTGCCTTAGAGGTGACATCCTCCTTACGTGATGAAGAATCTTTGAAGAAATTTATGCCTGTTATTAAGTGTGAGGACCCAAACGAGAACCTTTATTCCTTTGTTGGAACATTGTACTATAATGGAGACGAGTACCCACTTTCACCCCAGCAGATTCTTTTAAGAGATTCCAAGCTCAGGAACACTGATTTCATCTATGGTGTGGTTATTTTCACGGGGCATGACACAAAAGTGATGCAGAATGCTGTAGACCCCCTTCTAAGAGGAGTAAAATTGAGAGGAGGATGGACAAGATAGTTTATCTCCTTTTCAGCATGTTGATTTTGATATCATGGATTGGATCTATTGTTTTTGGAATTGAGACTAAGAGGGATTTTAGTGGTGGGAGGTTTAGAAGGTGGTATCTTCGACCGGATGACACAACTGTGTTTTTTGACTCCCAAAGAGCACCAATTTCTGCATTTTTTCATTTCTTGACAGGACTTATGCTGTATGGATATCTGATACCAATATCATTGTATGTGTCAATTGAAATTGTAAAGGTTTTACAAAGCATTTTCATTAACCAAGATCAGGATATGTACGATGAGGAAACCAACAAGCCTGCACGTGCACGCACATCTAATTTGAATGAGGAGCTTGGGCAGGTTGATACAATAATGTCTGACAAAACTGGTACATTGACATGCAACTCAATGGAATTTGTCAAATGTTCTATAGCAGGAGTTGCCTATGGCCGTGTTATGACAGAAGTAGAAAGGGCCTTGGAGATGAGAAGAGGTGATGGGCCAACAGAAGTTGATGATGCTTTATCTAATCTACCACAAAATTCAGGAAATTCTATCAAGGGATTCAACTTCAGAGATGAGCGTATAATGAATGGACAGTGGGTTAATGAACTTCATTCAGATGTCATAAAGAAGTTCTTTCGAGTTTTAGCAGTTTGCAACACAGCAGTTCCTGAGAGAAACAAAGAGACAGGTGAAATTTCTTATGAAGCTGAGTCCCCGGATGAAGCAGCCTTTGTCATAGCTGCAAGGGAAATTGGCTTTGAGTTGTTTGAAAGGACACAATCCAGCATATCATTGCATGAGTTGGACCCTGTGACTGGTAATAAAGTTACTAGGTGAGGTCTTCAGGTATAATGTGTTGCTTCATTTTCTTTTGTATATCCGTTTCATGCGACTGAGTTTATATATTCCAGAGTCTACCAGCTACTTCAAGTCTTAGAGTTCAGTAGTTCTCGCAAAAGGATGTCTGTAATTGTAAGAAATATGCAGAAACAGCTATTGCTTCTTTGCAAGGGTGCAGACAGGTTTGAATCTTGATGCAGAAAGACCTACTAATTAGTTTATGAAGTACACATAGCTAAAATCATGTTTTTCTGTTATTTGTTTATATATAGTGTGATTTCTGAAAGGCTCTCAAATAAGGGACGACTATTTGAGGCTAAGACCAAGGAACATGTAAAAATGTATGCTGAGGCAGGTTTACGGACCATATTAATTGCATATCGTGAACTTGGTGAAGATGAGTACAGAATTTGGGAAGCGATGTTTTCAAAAGCCAAAGCAACTGTAACTGCAGACCGAAATGGGTTGATGGATGAAATTGCTGATAAGATGGAAAGGGATTTATTTCTTCTTGGTGCTACAGCTATTGAGGACAAGCTACAAAGAGGGGTATGTAACAAACTGAAAAAATGCATTACCTAGATAAATTGTCATTTTTAGTTGTTCCAGCCTATGCCTATTTATTCGTGCCATTTTTTTAGATGTTGTAAAATGTCTCATCGAATACAAAAGTAGAAGGTATCCCATAACCAAACCGAAAGCTCAAATAATTATTTAGGGAGGCTTGATTTCTCATTTATAATTTTTCTTATTGATAAGAACTGATATTGTTCTTTCATGTTTAGGTTCCAGCGTGTATAGACAGGCTCGCTCAGGCTAGAATTAAAATATGGGTTTTAACTGGAGATAAGATGGAAACTGCTGTAAATATTGGGTATGGCGTGAAGCTTGTAACCTAATGATTATTTTGGGGGTTTGCACATTATAACTATCATGATTTTTACAGTTATGCTTGTAGTCTACTGAGACAAGGAATGAAGCAGATTATCATCACACTAGACTTGCCAGAAATTGAAGCCTTGGAAAAACAAGGGGATAAGGAGGCTATTTCTATGGTAAAGGATTCTAAAAAATGGATTAATGTATTTTTCAGATTCTGAAAAGTCTGAAATCTTTTATCATGTCAGGCTTCTTTTAAAAGTGTTATGGACCAGTTAAAAGATGGAAAATCTCAAGTTGATTCTGCTAAAGAATGCCCAGTTGAGTTCGGGTTGGTGATTGATGGGAAGTCCTTGGCTTTTGCGCTGGACAAGAAGTTGGAGGAGAAATTTTTGGAGCTTGCCCTTGATTGTGCTTCTGTTATATGTTGTCGGTCTACTCCCAAACAAAAAGCTCTTGTAAGCATCATAATCACGATCATTTTAATGATTTGTTTGGTAAAGTTGTCATTTACAGTTGCAATTTATGTAAAAAATCTAAGAAAAGTATAGAAGATATGCAGGTCACAAGACTGGTGAAAACGGGTCCAGGTAAGACAACATTGGCAATTGGTGATGGGGCGAATGATGTCAGCATGCTTCAGGAGGCTGATATTGGAGTTGGCATTAGCGGTGTCGAAGGAATGCAGGTCATAAAAATATATATATTCAATTTCCACGTGTGGTTAGATTTTTTTATTCTGAAGAACATTCAGAATTAAAGCTTAAATTCCATTTGCTTGATATAGCTCTGCAAATAATGTCTTTTATGCCATCCCTTGTCAGTTAATAGATGCATGTCCCATGTCAATATGGCATCAAAGATATTTATTATAGACTATACCAGTTTTCTCTTTCTTATATTAATGATGTGCAACTGTTATGCACAAATTGGGGCCGACTTGTCCATTTTCATTTTAATCTTGCTTTAACCATTTCTTCCTGCTGTTTATAGTGGTAATACAAGCTTAGTTGTGGCATGTTGTTGTTACAAATTTTGGGTGTGAGGGAAGATCTGGTGACTGATCCTTAGGATGCTACCACTCAAAATTAAATGGTTCGACCCTTAGTTTTAAAAAATGGCTGTTACATAACGTAATGACTATTATATAATGGTAACAGGGCACCCCGGTATTGTTATTTGGCTTTAGGGGTGCCCCGACACCGTTTCACACAAATAACGGTATTACCTTATGTAACACGGTTATTTGTTGTTATATAATGGAGTTACACAAATTCTATTTTAAAAAAAAACATTTCAGCTTGCAATTCAACCAGAGATAGAGATAGAGACTAGAGAGGCAGAGACCCTACTTGCAAGTTGCAACCCGCTTGATTAATTCAGAGAATAAGAATCAAATACTATTTGTAGGCTTTGATAGTTTGATTGAATAAATTAAAAGTTCTTTTATTTTTCTATTTGGAGGCTTTGATAGTTTGATTGAATAAGTTAAAAGTTAGTCCTTTTATTTTGAAAAAATAATTTAGTTATTAACTAGTTGGAGATGAATATTTTATAATGTGTATATTGAAATTATAATGTATTTTATTATTTTTTATGTGATATTAATTTATTAGAAGTGTTATTACTATTTTTTGAAATAAATTCAACTATTGTATGAACTATTAGAGATGTTATTACTTATTAGTATTTATAATTAGTAAAATTGTTAAAAATATATGAATTAGAATAAATTTATTAACAGTTGCTAATGTGTTCAAGACATCGGTTGCCACGATCGCTATTTTATTACCATGATAAGCCATGATCTGTGATTGCAATTGCAACCGTTTTTTTCAACCGCGACCGCTATTTAAAACTATGGTGTAACCTGTGTTTTAGATCTCCTTCCCTAGGTTCTTTGTTTTGTGGGACCAGCACTCCGTGACTTTGGCATTAATCAGCTTTCCCTTTAGCTATTTCCCTCTTCAAATCTTTCAGCTTCGGCAAAGTACTCAATCTTTTATTTTATGTTGCATACTGTAGCACTTAAATCCTTTTATATGAAAAGTTCAACTTCAGGTTTCATAAAAGTAACTTGAGAAATTCAGCTTTGGCAGAGTCCATTTCTCTGTTGAAAATGAAATTGGCCCTGGGCCTTTGGTTCTCCATTTGCGAACTATCCCACATAATGATCCTCTTGCCACTTTTAGTATTAACTGTTGCATTACTTTTTTTAAGTTGCAATCCTCATCTTAAGGCATGATCTATTGTGTTCAATGAATACCTTTGTTATAGTCCTCCCTCCTATGATCTCTGTTGAAACATTTCTCAAAATCAGCTCATGACTACTTACTGATTTCAGATATTTCTTCAACTGCAGGCTGTGATGTCAAGTGACTTTGCAATTGCTCAATTTCGTTTTCTGGAACAGTTATTACTGGTACATGGCCACTGGTGCTACAGGCGAATAGCAATGATGGTAAAACTCTTTGTTCCTAAGTGGTTCACGTCTTTCTAGCAGCGCATGTTAAACATACAGAGAAATGAAAAATCACCCTTACAATCTTTCTATTAAGAGGTTTTATGCTTTTCTCTCATGTTTCCCTTCTTTGCAATCTGCTTTTTGTGATTCAAGTAGTGGTTTTATACCTCTTGTCATTTGTCCCTTTTCAGTTTCTGTTCGCAGAATACAATTACCTTTTTTTTTTAAAAAAAAAGCATTTTCTGTTATGTGTGTCTGCACATTATTGAGAGATTGTAAAATGTTGGAAAACCAAGGAACTTGAACTAACTTTTGCATCCAAGTTTACATTGTCATTTAGAGAGAAGTAATTGTTTGGACTTGGGCTTAGTTGAACCGAGTCATGTATTTCACATTGCCATACCTTTTTTTTTTTTTTTTTTGGTAAACAACCAGGGTCACTTTAGATGAAGAGATAATTACAAAAAAAATTAGGAGGATACCTGAACAAAATGTGGGGAGGCTCTTGCATCCAAGTTGTAAAATTGTCAATAAAAAGGGCTGTTTTAGCTAATTAGTGTGCTACTACATTTTTTTTTTTTTTTTTTTGTGGATGCAGATATGCTACTTTTTCTACAAGAACATCGCATTTGGTTTTACTTTGTTTTGGTTCGAGGCCTATGCTTCTTTCTCTGGTCAGCCTGCATATAATGATTGGTACATGTCATTCTACAATGTCTTCTTCACCTCGCTTCCTGTAATTGCTCTTGGTGTTTTTGATCAGGATGTTTCTGCACGGCTTTGTCTCAAGGTAGGTAATTCTTGCTCTATAATCTTGGGCATATGTTAACGGAAAGAGGAAATTAATGTCTAGACTTTGGAAAGTTCGAATAGCCTTGATTACTGAATTTCAGAAATGGTGTAGTATGTTATAAGAAGTAAGGGAATATTAGAATCATTAATATTTGTGTGTTATATATAGATACTAGAACTAGCTTCTTTGTCGGGTAAAGGAAGATGTCTGAATTAGAAACATGCTAGGATGATAACCGGATAGCTTGGTTCAGTCTTCTCAGCGTTTTCTAGAAAAAGAAGCTTGAGATTTGTGATTCTCATGATTGAAAAATTTGGGTTTGACATAGGTATTTATCCCTAACACTGCTTTTCTTTATTAGCCTGTCAATGATATAGAATGTTCTAGTGACACCAATATTCTTTTCTGACTTTTTGCTTCCCACTTATTCCCATTATATGCAATTTCAATTTCATAATTAATAATTTGGTTCAAGGCCATTGCATTTATTTGCTTCGCACCTCATGAACCAAGATTATACTTCATTTAAGAAGATAGCATCTGGGATTAATCAAGTTCTGGTGGAATAAGTGTTACTTATCATCGTTTATTTTTTTCCAGAATGACTTATCATCTTGAAACTAATAATGCAAATGTAAAAGTTATCAAGATGCACTTTTTTTAAAACATAAGGATACATGGATATGCAGGCTTGCAACAGTGAGTGACTGGAGCGGAAATTATATGCTGCAAACTCCATTTATTAGCAAATACTTGATTAGTTTTTTGTCTTTTTTTTTTTTTTTTCAAAATCTATACTTTCAAATCTTATCTCTATGACTATGCACTGGAGTATTTCAAAAGAAGCAGAAGTGCCATTTGTTGACTTTAGATCATCTGTTTTACAGTATCCTTTGTTATATCAAGAGGGAGTCCAAAACATCCTTTTCAGCTGGCCCCGCATCCTTGGTTGGATGTGTAATGGAGTTCTGAGTTCCATAATTATCTTCTTCTTCACCATCAACTCCATGATCAATCAAGCCTTCCGGGGAGATGGTCAGGTTGTTGACTATGGGATCCTTGGGGCGACGATGTATACATGTGTAGTTTGGGCCGTAAATTGCCAAATGGCACTCTCTATCAATTACTTCACCTGGATTCAGCACTTCTTCATCTGGGGAAGCATAGCCTTCTGGTATATGTTTTTGGTGATCTATGGTTCTCTTTCACCGAAAGTATCTACAACAGCATATATGGTTTTCGTGGAAGCCTGTGCTCCCAGTATTCTCTATTGGCTCGTCACCCTTCTAGTTGTTATTTCGACTCTGCTACCTTACTTCTCATACAGGGCATTTCAATCTCGATTTCGACCCATGTACCATGATATAATACAAATATGGCGATCAGAAGGCTCCGAGGCTGAAATTTCTGATGAGTCACGAGCTGGGATAAAAATCAAAATGAATCATCTGAAGGAAAATCTGAGGCAGAGAAACGTATCATGAATGTGTATTTACAGCTGCCAACTGGGGTCAAATCAGGTGACCTGTTGCCTTTTTTTTTTTTTTTTTACAGTGGCAGATAGGTTGGTGGGGGTGTATGTATATGAAGATGGGGATGTTTTTATTAGTCTCCTGTAGGTTAGATATGTAAGGCTAATGGGAAGTATCAACTTCTTCACCCTTGCTTTGAGCTATATCCCATTCCTTTGTTCATGGACGCAAAACATTTCTGTATGGATTTTGATTAGGTTTGCAGCTTTGACGTTGGTCCATGATTCGTGGTGTGGTACCCATATTTTTTGTTTTATTTGTTTATTTATTTTTGTTGATAAAGGGGCCGTGGCCGAAAAGAACAAACTTTACGTACGAATCATTCAAGGAGAGGATGTCCTAATTGCATCAAAATACAACAAAGGAAGGAACCCGCAGTCGCAGTGAGGATGTCAAGAACATGCAAGCCAATGTGAAAGCCATTATTCATGCTGGCCGTCAAAGTCAGTTAAATGGTTTCCTTGGCATCGCCTATGAATTTCCAGATCTAATGGATCCACAAGTAAAGATGACAATGGGTTGAGTACCCAGCCTATCAAGTCAATTCCATACTCTATTCATTAAAAAAAAATATTATATCCATCATTCTATTCATTATCTATTTAAAATCATTTACATATTTCTTTATCGAATTTATACCTATTATATCATATTTTATCTATACCTATTTATCCTTTAATTTTTTTCTTTAAATTAAATTATTTTTTTCAATTTTTTTATTGAAATTTTTATTTTTATTTTTATTTTTTTTGTTACCAACTTTTTTTTGCTCTGGACTCTTTTTATATTGTAAAATAATTGGTGACAACTTTTTTTATTTTTTTATTGGTGACAGGTTCTTAGAAAGACTATGATGATAGATGTTTTGAATATATTATGTAACCTTAAAATCTTCTCTAATAGGGTGTTTCTATCTATACTTTCAAGATATTTATAAAAAGGCTAGGTGGGGTCAAACAATTGGGAAGAGTATAGTATCTTTATGCCTTTTATTTTTAAATATTTACTGCTTGTAAGGGGGAAAAAAAAAGAATGAAGATAAATTTCAATAAAGCTTCTAACATGATCCTGATTGATTTGTCCGTGCATACTTAACGATAAAAAACTATACTTGTAAAAATGTGTTTAATCCATGAAAAAAAGGGCTAGAGTTCGGCCATAACAAGAAGAAAAACCAAAACAATGTGAAATCAAACCTTGTATGTGTTATTTTTCTTTAGTTTTCCTTCTTTTTCTTGCTTGTAAACTCCCTAGAAGAGACTATTTATTTATTTTATTTTATTTATTTTTTTCCTTTTTCAAATGAAAATTTGAAAACTACGTTCACAAGAAATGAGCAATTACGTGCAGTCCTCTCTAGTACTCCAAGAAAAAACGTAACCAGTTTGCAAATTGAGCATTCAGACAATTTTTGAGAGTTGCGCACCAAGCAAGAGATGAGTTTTCTTTGCCTTTCTCAGTTTCTCTTTTATGAAAGGTTGACTTCAGTACCTTTCAATGCTGAGCAGACTACAAAATATTCCAATTAGTTTTCTTTATCCCTTGTTTGGATAATTCCTCTTGGGAGGAAAGAAAAGAGAGAAAAGAAAGTGAGAGAAAAGAAAAAAGAGAGGAAAGAAAATCATTTTTCACTTGTTATTTAGATAAGGGTGGAAAGAAAAGGAAAGAAAATACATTTTCCTTGTTTGGATAATTGTAAAAAGAGGAATGAAAGAAAATGTATTATTGTATATGTACTATAATACTCCTGTGATTATATTTCTATATTTAAATACTTATAATAAATTTGTATAAATATTTTTTTCATGAAAATAACACAAATGATAATAAAATAAAAATCTAGCATATAACATATATCCGAAATGATAAGATAGATAATGAATCGTCTTCATAGAATAATCAATAACTATTTATTAATTAATTAATTCAATAGCCAATTTAGATTAATTATCAACATAAAATTAATTTAAATATTTATAACATGTATTATTATCTATGCATATAATAAGTTAGTTGCTTTTACCCATCATTTTCTCCGTTTTCTTTTTTATAATTTCATTTGAATTGACATAAGATTTACAATAATGGTATAATAATAATAATAATAATCATAAATATTATAATCATAAATTGTTTTTATGGTGATGATGTTCCAAAATCATTTAGCAGAGAATAAATCACTAAATTACTTCATCTTAATGAAAGGATGACTACCTTTGACAAAAATAAATAAATAAATAATCCATTAATTTAATTAAAAATATCGATACAATGTGAAAAATATAAATAAAAATTAATATCAATTTGTGAACATAACATCTTTTCTACTCCATCTAGCTAGCTAGGGTCATCGCGTGGCTCGTTGGCGGGATCGCGCGTTGCCTCTCCCCGTAACACAAATGTGCTTGTCATGTCCTCCCTTTGGCTCCAGACTTTCCCTTTTCTTTCTTCACCACCCCACCACCCACCCTCCCCCCCCTCCACTCTCTCTCTCTCTCTCAATGAGCTTCCTCTTCTTTATCTATTCTTCATGTATGGTTTTTCTTGGATCACAACATATCCCGTTCGGTGGTTGATCTCCTTTTTTTAAAAAAAAAATTGTTAAGCTCCTTATACTTACATCTTTATTTCTTCTCTATTTTATCGAACTCTTAGGTTCTATTTGGGCTCCATTACCAACTTGTCGAGGCTGAAATCGGGTCGTTGGTAAGCGAGAGCGAGAGAGTTGATTTGCGCGAGACGAGATGGGCGGGGAAGAGAAAGAGAAGGAACGCCGTGCAAGGGTGAAACTAGAAAAAAATAAAAATAAATCAGTTTCCTTCCGTTTTTCTCCTCATTTCCTCCCAATTTTAGGAGGAAAATGGGTCCCACCACTTATAGATTTGTTTAATATTTGTTTTTCTTTCCACGACTTTCTTCCGCAAACCAAATTGAGGAAAATTTTCATTTGCCCCCTATTTTCTTTCCTCTCCCCCACTTTCCACCCTATCCAAACAAGGGGTATATGTTTAGGAGGGTAAAAATAAAATAAAATAAAATCCAAGCCTATACTATGATGAAAAAATTTATTAACCAAACTATTATTCCGATCAATATGAAAGAATTTGTTCCCGACTTCGTATTAATTTTGTTGATTTTTTCACTTAGAAATTATATAAATTAAGTTTTATTTAATTAATTAAAGAAAATAAGAAGTTCGAAACGGATAATCTATAAGTTTTGTTACTAGGTTAATAAAATTGACAAAATTGAGATTCAAATTAGTAAAACCCAAGGTCATACCTAAAATCTTTTGTCAATCGAACCATCAGCCATCCAAATGGCTTAATTAAAATTTAAACTGTTCAATTAAAAAAAAATTATGTTTTAGTATTTTTTGTATATTAACGAGTAAAAGATGGGTATCAATAAGGTAAAAAGAGGACATTCATATTCATGGATAAATTGTCCATTAACATAGATGGATAATAATATTTTACCTATATTTAGTCCATTACCTATTAGGATATTTTAAAAGGGTAATTAATGGACGAGTCAGGCGGGATACCTATTTTGTATCTAGCCTACTCGCCATCCCCGATCCTCTTGTACCCCTACAAGCATTTGCTAAGATAGTTGAATCCGTTGCAAGTTCTACTTTACGCTAGCTAACATTCCAAACAACTTGAAGACCAAAGAAAGTACCCAACAACTTTGCATTTTGTGAATAATAGCACCCGTATTCATAACAAAACCTTTTTACAACTCGCTTAAAAGCATCTCCGACCACACCACCACTGCTGCTAGATCCGGGATTACCATGAGAAGCTTTCCCATTAACTTTCCCATCAACTCTTCTTGAAGTAGTATTGACACATCTCTAATGATAAGCTTTCTTGGCTTGCTCCAAAAGCTTCTTAGAGATTCTAAATTCTTCACAAAATTCAATCGGTTTTATAGTTTTTGAGATGAACTATTCAAACCTAATTATTTTAGAAACATGTTCGGTTATTAGATAATGCAACACCGGGCTCGAATCAAAAGTACCTAAGGAAAACTACCATAGTAAGCCGGTATGAATGGAAGAATACATAGTATGTTCTCCAATGAAACTCGAACTGTTTTAAACTAAGAAACATCCTAGCCTTAGCAACTTTACCTAGCTCATTGAGATGGTGGTTAGCAAAATTCTCTAGTTTTGAATACAAGTGTCATGGTGCTTTAAAAGACTCTAGTTGTTTTTCGACTCACCAATGACTTATAGTCTAAATGAATAGTAATTGGATACATCATCTTAGGTAGTCCTCACCTTTCTTCCTACGAAGTTCAATAAAGAAAGGGTTTTATTCAAAATTATCGTTGATGGGTTGATTTTAAATGACACAATACTTTTGAATACATTAACTATCTTACGATCGTTCAAGCCTTCAGCTAACGAAAGTAATACTAGCTCATATATTGCCAATGCCAAAATCCTTAATTTGATGGTGTTATCATAATCATCTAGAAGCTTTTTGAATTCTCACCGAACTAGACTCCAAAACCATCCAAAAATCCGACCATTATTAGTTGCTTGCTTGGTCAAAATAACATAATCAAGTCCAATTATCCGTTCAAAGTTAGAGGGTGTATGTTCTAATAGGCTATAAAAGTATACGTTTTATGATTTAGGACACGCCAACAAAGCCTTACATTCTTCAAATGTCGATGAGAGGTCTACACTTCCAAATGTGAAGTAATAATACTCGGGATCTCAATATCCTATCATGGCTTGGAAGTAAGAAATTTTAGTTTTCATTTTAAGCATCCGAGTTATTCACCATACAATTTTCAAAAGTCGACTAGCCCTAGGAAATAAGCATCTCCCAATAGTCAAGAAGTGGACCCATATTAGCCAACTCGTTAGCAAATCTTATCTTCTTTGGTAGTTTTGACACGAAACCCGAGGGTAGATAGTCTCTCTCCTAAATTTG